TGTATGTATATATAATATTTTAGATACATATATATTATGTAAATTAATTTGTGCTGCTTGCAGTATTAAGTACAGTAGGGCCACGCTAACTGGATTTATTACATATAATAATATGTGTTAAGTAATTAAATTTGAGCAGCTTTTGTGTCTGGGTGTTTTTAAAAGTGTGATGCATTACAGTGTGTATATATAATATTTTATTTTATAGTACAGTGTAGCTCCGCTAACAGATACAAATGTTATCTTTCACAAATTTTGATTGCGGCTATTTTCTGTAATGAATTGTGCAAACAAACTGTGACAAATTAAATGGTTGGTTACATTTTACAGTACAGTGTTGCCCCGCTAACACATGCAAACATTTTATGTAATTAAATTTTCATTTCGGTTATTTTTATAGTGATTTGTGTTGAGCAACTGTGTTAAATATTTTGATTAGCTCCACTTCCAAGTACAGTGAAGCTTCGCTAACATGTACCGCAATAGTTTTTATATTTTTTAGCTGTTTTTTATTTTTATTTGCTAAAAGGCTGTGATTAACAATATGGATACTGACACACTATATGCTTGTTAACATTTACAATACAGTATAGCTTCGCTAACACATCCAAACGTTTTATGCAACGATATTTTGATTTCGGCTATTTTTAATAATGTTTTGTGCTGAGCAGCTGTATTAAATGCTTTGATTAGTTACATTCTCAAGTACTGTGAAGCTTCGGTAACATGTACCGCAAATTGCTTTTATATATTTGTAGCTGATTTTTATTTGTTCTTGCAGAAAAGCTACGATAAACAATATGGTCGCTAGTATTTTAATGTACAGTGTTGCCTCGATTTCACGAACAAAATATTGGTGTTATTATTATATTATTGTGTGTCACTTTACATTGCAATTGGATTTTTGCAGCATTTTAAACTTAACTGCTAATTTATACTAATTTAACTTGAATTATATAAAAAGAAAAATATTAGAAACAAAAATTAAATACAAATATTAAACAAAAAAATATAAAAAAGATATTAAAAAAATGAAAAAACCAA